AGAAAGAAAATTGCACACATATCCAGGCACACGAGATAACCTCCTTCAAGACATCTATATTAAGTGTTTCAGTGCCCGAGCCATCACAGACCCTTTCTAGTCTAAATACACTGGGCTCCCAAACTCAGAACTGGATGCACCTTCCATGCATGCCGAAGTCAAAGCGGCAATTGTCAGCACGAAACGAATTATAGCGCCTGGGGCGCATCAAATAACCAATGCCATGATTCGCAATATGAATGACGAAGCCGTAACAGTGTTTCTAAACTTCTTTAACAAACACTGGGTAAATAGCACTATACCTCAGCAATAGAATCATGCTGTAATAACTATGACACCCAAACCAGGACCGAAATTGGCAATAGAAAACCTCAGACCAATCTTTGTTACCTCGTGCTTAGGCAAAGTATTTGAGAGATTAATAAATACCAGACTTCAACGGCACCTTGAACAAAATAACATGTTGCAAAACACCATGTTTGCTTTCCGCTCGAATCTTTCGACGCAAGACATCCTTCTGCTTTTGAAGGAGGAAGTACTAACAAATGTTCCAATAGCACGAGCAAACATTGTCATGGCCATCGACACGAAAGGCGCTTTCGACAACGTAAGTAATACGGCTATATTAGATAGCCTAGCAGCGACAAACTGCGGTCGGAGGACCTACCAATATGTACAAAACTCCCTAACTAAAAGAGCCGCTGTCTTCAAAGTAGGAAAATACAAAACTAAGGTCTTCCGCTCACCGAGCAAAGGCACACCACAAGGCGCTGTGATCTCGTCTACACTTTTCAACATAACCATGATTGGTTTAGCCAAAAACTCGAAGGTATTCCCGACATGCGACACTCCTTCCATGCGGATGGCATCACTATATATACAACCAAGGGTAGCTGGGCAGAAAAAAAAGAGCAGCTTCAACTGGCAGCTAAAACCATTGAAGAGTACACTAAACAAAGGAACTTCAGTGCTCAGCAGACAAATCGGAACTCATTCGGTTCCCCAATAGTAAAAAACAAAGGACAGACTCAAGCCTCCACCTTGAGGTCAAGCTAGACTGCAATATTTTTCCAGAGAAAAGGACCGTTAGAATCTTAGGGATGTGGTTACAGTCCAATCAGCGATGTCTCCACACACTGAATATGCCTAAACGAACAGCTCAACAAATTGTTCGTATGATAGTTCGAATAACGAACAATCGTGCTGGACTGAAAGAACAAGATGTGCTTCGTTTAGTAAAGAGCTTTGTCATCAGTGGTCTAACATACTGGCTACGTTACCACAACATGATTAGAGAGGAGAAAAAAAGCAGACAAAATAATAAGAATGGCGTATAAAGCGGCTCTGTGACTACCACAAAGCAGTTCAACTGTGAAGCTATTACCGCTCGGACTTCACAATACACTTGATGAGTTGGCTGAAGCGCAAGGAACCACCCAGATTAACCGCCTGCTACAGACGCCAACCAGCAGAAAACTTCTTCAGAGAATTGGCCTCGGTGAACATGTACAAGCACACGGAGGAGCTAAAGAATTGTCGTGCTCAGTCAGAGCCTGGTACAAGATATGCCCCCTACCAAGGAACATGGACCCAGTTTCACATGCTGGAAGACGTAAAGCAAGAGCCGCTTTCATAGAAAAAAAGACAAAATATTTGAATACGGCGAGATTTACGGACGCTGCACCATATCAGGCAAATGCAAAGAACATGGTGGCCGTGGTCACAGACCAAAAAGGGAACGTCACAAGTTGTGCCTCCATAGCCCAAGCCTCTATCACAGAAGCGGAGGAGATAGCGATCGCGCTGCAATCAAGGAGCCCTATCGGAAAAATTGCCATGGTGGATACTGGAAAACATGGTGGGCGTAGTGGAAATAATAGTGGGCACTGTGGAAATTATGATGGCCATGGTGGGACGTAGTGGAAAATATGGTGGTTATGCCGGGCCACACTGGGTGGTATGGTGTACAGATGATGGGTAAAGTGGAAATGATGGTGGAAAGCAGAAGCTAGATAGTGGGCAATAATGGGACACTCTACCCATCATTGCGATAATGCTGGGAAGCCCTAAGCATATGGTGGGTGGTGCTTATTATGGTGGGCTACATGGTGTACCAAGCTGAGAAACTCTTCCCACCATTGCGCTAATGCCGGGAAGCACTAAGCAGATGATGGGTGCTGCTTGTTATAGTGGGCCACATGGTGTACCAAGCTGAGAAGCTCTGCCCACCATTGCGATAAAGCTGGGATCTGTACACTACATATTCTACCACCATGATTTCCACCAAAGGTTAGGCCTACTGACCGAGCCCGTACAATTGTGTTGTCCGTGCTTCCGGGTTTCAGAATACACGATTACGACGACTAAGTATGACAATACAGCGCAGCCATATGGCATCAATTAACCTAAACGAAGCATCTTTCATTGCGTATGGTGTCCGCTCAAGAAGCAACAAACATCGATGTGACACGATTAAAGCCCTCCCAGAGAACGTAATTAAGTGTCTTCTCACCGACAGCCGCCGGTCGCACTCGCCGGCACTTCTCTAGCTTTTGTACGAGAACTCAGACGTGGCAATTCGTGTGCTTGGTGAACCAATATGATAGCGTAATGTTTCCGGCAAACTGCATTCGTTTTGGCCAAGCCGTTATGTAGTTGTTGCTTTAGCGAAAGAGCTACAGCATTGCGCTGGCGCGACCACCCTCTACATTGCGCGAAAAGCATTCCAATACTCAATCAAATAAATTAGGCGGGCGTATCTATGGAATGAATCATCATAAAGCTTGAGCAGATGTCGCCCTTTAGAACGAGCGCGAAACGGATATTAAACTTGGCAAACCCCGCCGGTAAACTATTGCTGCTCCCCGGTCCACTTTGTTTTTTTTTTCTTGAAGTTGTGAATTGTAAAAAAAAAATAGCACTAGTGCCATTAACATAGTGGCAATCGTTAGAGGCCGCAGTTGCTTGTGTTTAATAAATGTGAAATTTTAGTAGCACGAGTAGATGTTGTATATGTTGTGTACACGACAGACATAACTTAAGTTGAACCTTAAGTTTGTGTGCCAGTCGAGTATTTAACACTCAATCAACGTCATGTTGGTGTGGCGCAGTGGTTAGCGTCTTTGAATTGAAATCCGCAGGTTGCAGGTTCGATCCTCCGTGGTGCGTTGTTTTTTTTTACGGGACGGGCGTTTTTATACCCTTTTCATAGAATTCTTTTTATTTTTTGTGGCAGCTCGTCACTGTGATTCTGACGTCATTTCGCGCTCAAGTGTTGCCGGCACGGCAGCACCCACCACACCCACCATGCGCCATGATGGGCGTTTCCCACCATTCACCAACTACATTAATCCACTATAATGGTGGGTGGTGGTTTCCACCATGCCCACCATTCGTTTTTTCCGTTAGGGAGGGGATGGAGCGAAAAGACCCAATGACAATAATCACAGATTCGAAGGCTGCAGGTAGAAATTACTGAAAAGGTTGAATATATATGAAGGCCTTCCAAATTCTGACGAAAGCTCATAAAGACTTTCCAATTGAATACACCCAAACCATTATCTGGGCGCCAGGGCACGAGGGCGTCACCGGGAACCAGTTTGCGGATGGGATGGCTCGAGGCTTTACAAATCACCGAGCTTCCTTGCACGCTGCAATAGAGGATACAACGCCCCTAGACCCTAACATTGGTACAGTTCTTCAGTACTACTAGGACAATAGAAAACTGTATCCAGCACCGCATAAGAAACTTACCGCAATGGAATCGGTGGTGTTACGCAGGATCTAAACAAACGCATACACGAACTTACACAGGCTACATGTATATGCTGTGGGGTATACTACCCCACAGCATATACATGCGCCTAAAGACATTAAAATCTATTGAATCCGTTCAAAATTGATCAGCACGTTTCATTATGCCAAACTATTCTCGCCCAGTTAGCGTTTCATTATTGAAACTTGATCTCGGACTACTTGATTTGTAGCTTAGAAGAAAACTTTCTCGTCTAAGCCTTTTCCGAAAAATTCTTCACTCGAACACTTCAATTAAACAGGAGCTATATCAAAACCGTCATACATATCGTGACGTCTTGATCATGAGCATAAAGTTTTCACTCCTCTCTGTCGCACTAATGTTTTTTCCGACTCCTTTCCACCAAAAAGCAGTACCGAGTAGAACCGCCTTCCCTCCTGCATCGCCTGCATTGAAGACGCATCATCATTCAAAACTGCACTGACAGATTATGTTATGCGCCGTAAATAACATTTTTTGTTGAACATGTATTCTCACTGATTTGTATTTTTATGTTCTACTTTTACTGCATTATTGTTGTATTACCCACTCACTCTGTAACGCCTTTATGTGCCCTGAGGTTAATCTAAATAAATAAATAAATAAATAAATAAATAAATAGGCAATATAAAACGCTATAAAGCCCCTTCTTAACGACTAATTCATGCTGATATGTCGAAGTGGCATAATAGAAAAGCAAGGAAAAAAATTCTGTCTGTATTAATCAGAAACATCAGTATATAGTAATATATTATGCCACCTAAATTTCCACTGCCTTAGCTGCGTGTTTTGTTTTATTTTTCCTTTACATGCGTTTTTTCTTTTTTATTGTATGCCAGTTTACATGCACATTCTATTAGGTTTTTGAATGACATGTCATTCAGTGTATACATGTGCGCGGGTGTGGCTCACTTGGTCGTTTATTTGCCAATTCTGTGTTAACTGGTTTTTATGAACGGCCCATTGCGAGTCCTTACTATTTTGTTTTTCTTTTTCTTTTTCTTACTGGCCCAGCATTTGATTTGCACTATGTGTTTCGCATTGGATGCTCTAGCAGCACTGTTTCTACGCCCACTCTTATCTGACTCTTTGGCTTACAGTATCATAATATAAAAATGCAGTCGTTATAGCATCTAATAAATGCAAGTTTCTCAAATCACGAGGCTGGGTCATTGCAATCACTCGAGTATTGAACAACGTAACTCACTCGTATATTTCAGTGCGTCGAGTTTTTTAAGCAGCATTTCTTCATTTGCTCCGTCTTCGGGACGTATGCCCCATTTGGCGGTTTTCTCAAACACAATGGCCCCAATACGATGACTCGTGTGGTTCACATCCAGCTGCACAGAGAAATACAACGAGAATACGTTGCACAAATGGTCCACAATGCGTATTTTAAGTTATCCGTCCCGCACATCACGCCAGATTTTTCGATGAGTTGAATGAATAGGTGCAAAATATTGACTATCCTGATCTGAATTTCTTGACTGAAATAAAACGGGAATACGTTGCACAAATTGTCCACAATGCGTATTTTAAGTTATCTGTTCCGTACATCGCGCGAGATTTTTCGATGAGTTGAATGAAAAGGTGCAAAATATTGAATATCCTGACCTGAGGTTCTTGACTCAGCACGCAATGGACCACTTTATTGTTGAAACCGTAAGGCCAAGCCTGATCTCTCTCTCTCTCTCTCTCTCTCTCCCTCTGTGTGTGTGTGTGTGTGTGTGTGTGTGTGTGTGCGTGTGCGTGCGTGTGCGTGGATGCGTGTGTGTGTGTGTGTGTGTGTGTGTTTATACGACATTTTTTATGGCTTTGCCACGAATGTTACACTTGCAAATCAAATTGACTGAAGCCAAAAAAGCATAAGGAAATTTTTCGTTGATTTGGGATATTATAGTGAAAAACATTAGGTGCCCTGTTGTGTGGGAATAAACGGTATTGTATGAAAAGCAGATTTGTAAGGTCCCGCCACACGTTTTCCCAATGTGGCATAACGCGAAGTCTTCATACAAAAACATCTGCTCCACGATTTCGTATTCGAAGCTGCCGTTTTCGCAGGAGAGACTGTGCCTAGTGAGGCACAAATTAAAGCCACAATGTGACCTAACTGGCTTGCGAACCTAAACTGCAATTGATGCCTACATGACCTTCGACAGCTAGTTCAGAGTTATTGTTCTCTTCAGGTGGTAACTTTATAAAGACACCCACGTCGCTGATAAGCCCTGTAAACTTGAGCATCATTGAATGAGAGTTTGAAATATAATAACTATACATTTGAGAAACGCATTCAACATACTTCAGGAAATAGTGTATCCAATACGGCACTTCCCGATTGTATCTCAAGACACTTCGACACACCAGCAAGTTTGTTAGAGTAAGAGCAGCTACAGAGGCTATTGACGCATGATGACACATGCGCGATTACCTCAATTGTTATAGAGTTCCTTGATGAACGAGCACATGCCTATTTACAAAGTTGTTTCCCTAAAGGTTTTTTAGTGGTGTCGGAGGGTCTTGAGTTTCAATAATTTATATGTTTGTAGAATAAAAGATGTCTTCGCCGGTAGAATGGGAGCGAAGAGAAAGGTTTAATGTTTCAGAGAGGTAACAAACGCGTACAATGTCCGGTAAACATTCGTTTCGCGCAGCCCAGGCACGAGCTCTCCTTTCGTGCCCACACTTCATTGTCTACTTTCTCCTATACATATTAAACAATATTGAATACACTCTGCGACCCGATGCGAAGGTTCGACGAGATAGGTAAAAGTTCCCTCTTTATAGCAGTTCTTGCAAAGCACTCACCAAGAAGCTCTTCGGCCGCGCATTTACGTTATTCTGATAATCATGCTATCACTGATGGCCTCGTTGTTTCTTAGCGATTGGTGCATACATTATAAGGGTCTTTCTTACAAGCTATCGCGTCATTTTCACAAATGAAGCAAATCACCACATATTACCTCTTTGCCCTACAATATCCTTGTACAACACTAGAAAATTGATATCTATCATTGCAAAACGCCAATAACCGCGACATGACCACCCGAACATGACTGGTGGACTTGCCGTTTCTGTTCCAAACTGAGCTCATGCAATGTAGCTTTTACTTACACGTTTCAAAGCTCGGCTTGCTTTCACGCACAAACAACCTAGCACAAATTCCAGTTAGTGTTGCAAACACCATGAGGTGCTTCCCGGTGAACTGGCATAACGATGAGCTGAGTTACTGGTTCGGAAGTAGCACTGGTGTTTTCTTGCTGCACGTGAGATGAGCTTCCCGAAGGCGTTTTTGTATCCAGACGGCACAATTGTCGTCAATAAAGGTGTCGCGGTCTTCTAAAGAATGGTTTTCAGGGCGCCCGTCGAAGTGGAGCTGCCCGATCGTCGTGTCGTGTCGTTGCTTGAGCTCTCGCCTTGCGGCTGTGAGTTAGGCTGATATGTGAAGCTTTGGTTCGGCTGCTGCTCGAGGTTTTGCTTGAGTTGAGCTCAGTGACTGAGAAGGAAGTCTAACTTGAAATTGCTCATTGTTGCGATGCACGTCCTCGTTAAATGACCGCACTGGACCAACATACGAGAGTTGTTGCAGAGATGGAGGGATGTCTGTGTCCACGCTGCTCGTGTGAAGTACACAGAAGTTAGTAGTATGAGCACGCTTAAAGTTCTGTCCTTCACACTGTATAGGTCCTTGAAAGGTCCAACCATGCTTTGTGTTGAAGGACACCAGGACTTTTTCTCGCTCATTGAGGAAAACTTTGTTTAACAAAAGCTTTCACAATTGGTCCGCTTCAATGAGCAAGCATATGCCATCCTCAGTTTTCAATACAGGAATCGCAGTCACGTCTGCAATAAACTTCTTTTCATGCAGCAGCCGTTGCGCTAAAACGTTCATGGGTTAAAGTTCCATAAGCTGCTCACAGATGAATGGTACTTCTATAGCTTCCACATCATGCGTGGTATGGTTGAATTGATTCATCAGCGTCACCTTGACGATGTTTTCTCTTCTTTTAGCTGCTTCACTCACTCCACCAAGTGCTTTGACATTCATTTCGACCGTGCGCACTATAGGTAATCTTAGCTTTTAAGATATGTCTTCTCTAACGAATGTCCGTTGGCTTCCGTTGTCTAACACGCCTCTGATGAAGCAAGATTCACTTTCGATTGTCAGTCATGCACGGAATGTCTCTAATAGGACTGTCTTTTCATTATGTCACGATGATGACTCACTATTTTTCACCTTTAAAATAGGAGCCCTTGCTTCGTTGAAGTGTTTCTTTTGCGCGTATTCGGGGTTGCTAACAACTGTTGCGTACCTTACGTTGCACTTATGACAAGTTACACGACTGTGGCAATGTTTTGGCCGATGTCCATTGATGGTGCATTTGCAGCACCTGCCAACCTTTTCTAGACATAATTATTGACGTAGCCCTTAAAATAAGTGAAACACAAAACAAGGGAAGGGACAGAGGGGAGCGCTTACTTCCACCAAGATTTTATTTCGAGGAGCGTACATATATATGCTTACGAAGTGCAAATAAAAAAACTGGCAAATTACATGAAAAACCCTCAATTGTCACGCGCGAGAAACTTACAATCTCAGGAAGGAAAGTTCTTTTTCACAAAGACCGAGAGAAGGTGCGCTCACGCAGTTCAGCTCTAATCTACTAGTAATGTTTTTTTTGGCTCTGCATTGCAGCATACGTGGCTGCAAACCACTTTTTCATGATACCATGATTCTAGGTAAAAACGGAAATAAAGTGACAAGGGAGATTATTGAAGCAGACAGGATTAGTAAATGAGGGCTGAACTGCGTCAGCACGCCTTCTATCGGTCTTTGTTAAAAAGAACTGGACTGCCCTTCCACAGGCTGCAATTTTCGCAGTCACATTTGAGCAGTTTGAGTCGTCCTTGCTTCGTCATTACTCACTTATAAGTGATCGATAGCTTCTGCAACGTTTTATTTGTGTGTCCTTGTGCTCCTGTCCTGCACACGTGCTGTACACGTGTTTCTTGGTGCAGTTCCTGCACATTTCATTGCAGAACATTTGCTGCGCCGCTTGTATGCGGGGATGTTGTGCGTGGCTGATGACTCCTCGGTTGTTGAACACGTGTTGCTTTTCTTTATTGTCGCTATAGCTTGCCTGTGCTTGCAAATGTTATCTGTGCTCAAATTTGCTCATGGATTTGTCTACAAAAATGTGTCTTTGTATCGGGCTGAGAAGCTTTTTTAGTGTTATTTCTTTTTTTGTCTCCCACCCTGTAACAGTCCCACTGGGGCTAACAGTATCAATGAATAAATAAAATAAATAAATAACTGTTCTTCCTGATATTGTAAGTTTTTTGCGCATGGCAATTCAGGGGTTTTCATCTGTTTTGCCTGTTTTTTTGCGTTCAGTGACCCTATATATGTACGCTCCTCGAAATAAAGTTTTATTGGAAGTAAGCCCTCCCCTTTGTCCCTTTTTTTTGTCCTGCGTTTCTCCTATTTTACGCGCTACGTCAATAATTACGTCTTACCAACATGCTCAACATTTACTCTAGTCTCTGCTAAGCGTTTCTTCCTTTCATGTAAGCTAATGTCGTATGTCCATGAATCTGTAGTGTGTGCTGCAGAGTGGCAAAAGAAACAGGTATCTTTTTCAATCGCTGCGTGGCTGATCAAAGCAGACGCCGTGGGTTCAGCCTCATGAAGCGGGCCTCGTCGGTGATCTTCAACACCATGACTGCCGGATCCACAAAGAAAATTCTCTCGCGAGCTTCCACCTCCATGCGTACGTACTATAGTAGCTCTCAAAGTTCCGTTTCTGAGGTTGCAACCGCACCAACGCTTGTCTGTCGGGATTGTTGTTTGAAGTGTTCTACCAGGGTATCTCCGGGGATCGCTTTGACGAGGACCTTGAGTAGCATGGCAGCATAGGAGATCTTTAGGCATCTGAGCGCCTTAAGTCCCCTGATATTGAGGTGAATGGTCTACAGTAGGTTTCGCAACGAAGCCACATCAATGGAGGACTAAACCGCTCTGAGCGTTCGTAGGTTTGACAAGTATTGTTGCTCAATGATCTTCTTGTTTCCAAAGCGGTCTTTTAGAAGGGTGATGGCGTCTTCGTACGACTGCTCCGTGGGTCGAAGGCCGTCGATGGCCTTCGATACCTGCCTAGTCACCAGGCAGATACCTGCCTAGTCACTAGTCACCTTCAAATAGAGGAACCGTTCAATGTTCGATAGGCTGGGGTTTTTGTGAATTGCGTGCCTGAACATATACCAGAAAGGTGGCCACTGCGTTGGGCTTCCGGTGAAGTGAAGCAGCTCAAGTTTAGGTAAACGAGAGCCAATTAACCCGTGA